TGGCTATGTCGCTGGATTCCCACGTAGTCGACCGTGGTTCGTGTCCCGGACCCGGTGGCTTAAAACTCACGCCAGGCGCGTGTGCGTGCGTGCCCAAGATCCCGAGAGGAGAATGGAGGAGAAGGGATTGCGGCGTGACCATCCCCCCTGGGGGGTGATTTCTCGCTTTCTGTCTCTATGTCTCTCTCTGTCTGTCTGGCGAGCGCACGCGCCCTACAGTGAAAATCTCTCCAAAAAAAAAAAAATGACTCAGGAAGTTTGTTTAAATGTAGATTCCTAGATAGCATCTGGGAACCTTAATCTCCAGAATTAGAATTTCTGAGGATAGGGACCTAAATTCATTTTAATAAGTTCCCCCAAATAATTCCCAAACTATTGGATTGTCAGGGAAGTCATGACACATTTTTGCATAGAAAACCAGAAAAACATGTTATGACTTTTCCAATGACCTAATCGGTTTTAGAATCCTTCAGGACCAGTAGATGGCTTAATGGTTATGTTGCTGGACTCCCATGTAGTCAATCGTGGTTTGATTTCTGGACTCAGCAGATTAAAACTCACTCTGGGTGAGTGTGCATGTGTGCCCAAAATCCAGAGAGGATAATGGAGGAGAAGGGATTGCAGCATGGCCAACCCCACAGGGAGTGATTTCTTGCTTTCTGTCTCTCTCTGTCTCTCCAGTGAGCACATATGCACTTTAGCAAAAATCTCTCAAAAAAAAGAACCCCTAAAATTAACCTCTCTACCTTCTTTTTCCACCCTAATTCAAATTACTATGTATCTTCCCATACATTAGGATACAACTCTGTTTAAAAACTACCATTTTAGGTCTGGCCCCATAGTGCAGCAATTGGATGCTGTGCATAGGGTGCTGGATGTCACATGGCTAATTGTGGTTGGAATCCCAGCCCTGGCAGCCTAAGAAACACACTGGGTACATGTGTGTGCATACCCAGAATCCTGACAGGATGGAGAAATGGAAAGGGAGGGACTGAGGCATGACCATGCCTTGTTGTATGATGCTTGCTCTCTCTCTCTCTCTTTCTCTCTCTCTCTCTCTCTCAATTTGGCAAGTGCAAGCACCTGCTGGCAATCAAGGAGAAAAACAAAAGGAAAAAAAGCAAAAAAAAAAACAACAACAACAAAAAACCCGACCACTGTATGTCTAATATATTTGCATGCATTTGAGAGTATAAAGTGAACCTCAAGGATTAGAAATTCTTTGTTTTGTTGAAAGGGAAACTAAGATTTAGGGAAATTTTCAACTATAAAGGTTACAGACTAGGTAAGTGGCAAAACTGGGATTAGATTTCAAGTTTCCTGATTTCTAACCCATGCAGAGGAAAGTTAACATAGCCAACCTGACTGCCATCCTTTTGAAATGTCTGTTTGTGAAACTGACTTTTGGATAACATCTGGGATCTCCAATTTGAGGAGTCTTTACTCCCAGGGCTGAGAGTGTGGTTCACTATGCTTAAAATATTTATATAGACAATATGATTAAAGGTAACACCTGATTTCCTTTTGGGAGTCTAGAATTTGGGTACATGGCAGACAAAGCGTGCCAATGTAACCAGCCTCCAATAAAAACCCTGGGCACTGAGTCTCTAACAAGCTTCTTTTGTTGTTAATACTTCACACACATTGTCACAACTCATTACTAAGGAAATTAAGCATATTCTTTGTGACTCCACTAGGAGAGAAATTCTGGGAGCTTGTATCTAGTTTCCCCCAGACTTTGTCAATGTGCCTTTTCTTTTGTTGATTGTGCTTGGTATACTTTTGGCATAATAAATCATAACCATGATGAGTACGATTATATGCTGAGGACTCCAAGTCATCTTAGTGAATCATCAGATCTCAGAGTGGACCTGGGGACCCTTTGGCACAGAAGCCAATGCTTTCCATAACTTATTTCACTGCCTCTCTCATGGGCTAAATAGGAGAATAAAAAAAAAAAGTAGAAGTATCAGAGGATAGTGAAGACAGCTTAGGCTGAAATCCTGACTCAGTGAGCTTCTACGATCCATTACTTCCTTGAGCCACAATTTCCTTATCTATAAAACTTGGCCAATTATACTTACTTTGCAAGATTTTTACAAAGATTTAGAGATAATAGCCCAAGAGGTTCATAGGAGATACCTTTTAAGGGGTAGCTATTACGTTCATTCACTTTTTTTAGATAAGATGAAATGATTAAAAGGAATTATGGATACAAATTTATGGACCTACACGTTCATGTAGCAATGGAGTTACTGTAATTATGCAGTAATTTGTCAAAAAGTCTCAATCATGTTGCAATTTATGAACAGATCATTTTTTCCTTTCCTTTTTTTTGGAGAGGTTTTCGCTATAGGATACATGCGCTCGCCAGAGAGACATAGAGACAGAAAGCGAGAAATCACCCCCCAGGGGGGATGGTCACGCCGCAATCCCTTCTCCTCCATTCTCCTCGCGGGATCTTGGGCACGCATGTACACGCGCCCAGCGTGAGTTTTAAGCCACTGGGTCTGGGACGTGAACCGCGGTCGACTATGTGGGAGTCTAGCGACATAGCCATTACGCTAACTGCTGGTTCCCAACAGATCATTTTTCTTTGGATATATGTAGGGCTCCAGGTAGAGCTTCTCTAACTAAGAAATATTTTGCACATTACCTTTAAAATTCAGTATTTTGAAATTTTGAAAGTTGTTTATTAACTGTCAAGAACTATGAAGTATGAACAAAAGTTTTTGATATATAAAGTAAATATTTGTGCAAAAATGTAAAAAGAAATAAAAGAAACAGAAGAAAAATAAATAAATAAATAGATAATTTTGCTGGGGGGAAAAACTTAGGGTAGGACTTGTGTGGAGAACAAGCACAAAAAGCAGCATGCTTATATTCATCCTCAGCTCTCGACCCATGCTTGGCTATTTGTCTCTTACATTTGGAGTCCTACCACCTTCACTAATTTCTGGGGCCTGAACTTTTTCTGGCTGCCAATCTCTGCATTCCTCAACTCTTTCTTGGATGTTCAGTTGTTCCTCTAGTTGGACTCTTTCTAAACACTTGTTCACACACTATACATTCACCTGGTCCTCTTTGGGGGATTCCCACTGAAACTTCTTTCCTTGATGTATCTCTAGCTTTTAATATTTGCTTGTAATATTTGTTTTGAATAAAGCACATTTTACTTTTGTGGAAGCAGAATTATTAGATAAATACAATCTCAGTCAGTGACAGCATATTTGGAAGAAAAATTCATTTGCGTTCATTTATTTATTTTTGTCTCTAGCATCCAGAAGATAATCACACTTTTCCTTAGTACGGTCATTGTCCAATCTTAAATAACATAACTAAAACATTTAAAGAGGAATTTTGTAAAATCTCATCAGGAAGTCAAATGAGGTAAATTTGTTAGCATATACTAAGGTAGTTTCCATAAAAAGCAGATGGGATGGTGTCTGCAAGAAACTGCTTTATGGCATATCATTTTCAGAAAAAAAAAATAGCTGTCTCTATTGAGAGCAAGCTATTTAACAAAGCTATTTACCCTGGATTTTCAAGTCAGACATAATATAATGGTTAGAGCACTGCATGGGGAGTTAGAAGGCTTGTGTTTGCATCTTTCACTTTAATATAGTGGGTAAGAGCCTTTTGCCATGTCTCCTTTCATCTAAGGGGTGAGCTACCAGTATTTGCCAGTGGAATGTCAGTAAAAGTCCTTGTGCCACTTCCCTGACAAGATAACTTCAAAGCACATATATTTTCTCCGTGCTCTCTTCTTCCAGGTACTGGCTAGATATTGATACCCATGGTAACTTTGGAAGCCATATGTTTAATTTGGCAGACCTAATCTCAGCCTGAGTCCCTGAATTACCACATAATTTAATAATCTGTCCTTTCCTCTTACCAATTAAGAACATCCACACGATGTTAAGACACTGACATTTGAGATATTTTACTATAGCAGCTAGTATATCCCTTATTAAGTTGTTTCATCTCTTTATGCCAATTTGTTTGGGTTGTTATACAGATTAAATGAGTCATAACAATGTCTGGCACATAATAAATGTTAACTATTAATATTATTACCTACTCTGGACCAGCCTATGGCCTGGCATCTAAGGGAACCAGTCTTACACAGCTGACCATGCAATTTGAGTCCTGGACCTAGTGGCTTGAAAAATATACTGAGTGCATGTGTGTATATGCCCAAAATCCTAATGGCATGGAGAAATGGAGGGGAAGGAATTGTGATGTGAATATGCCCCATTAGGGGTTACTTTCTCCTTCTACCTCTCTCTTTCTCTCTGTTGTGTATGGCAAGCACATGTGCCCTCTGAAAAATTAAAATTGAAACATAGGGGCAGCAGGTGGTGTAGTGGTTAAGGCTCTGGGTTCCCACATGGATGAGCGCAGTTCGAATTCTAGACCAGGTGGCCTGAAACTCACACTGGGCATCTATGTGTACCTGCCCAAAATCCCACAAGGAGAATGGAAAAGAAGAGATTGTGGCATGGTCATCCCCTCTGTGGAATTATTTCTCACTTTCCCTCTCACTGTCTCTTTCTTTCTCTCTCTGGCAAGTGCACATGCCCTGTGGCAAAAACCTAAAAAATAAATAATAATACTTTTAATAATAATTTTTAGATAATCTCATTACTTACTCTGATACCGACGAGTTATGAGTCATTGAACATGTCAATATTACTGAATGTCCCTTTCCTCAACTGTGAAATTTAAGAGTCATGCTCGATGATCTCTAAGATTTCCTACATTTGACATTTTATCAGAAGTCTCTACACAAAACTGCTAAGAAAGAATGATCTCAACCCATAGAAAGTGGCCAGAAGATGAAGGGGCATCAGGTACACAGAAAATGAAGAACAGTACATAGGAAACTGAAAGGGAAAACCATTATTTAAAGACAAGCTTGACTTTTTTCTTTTCTTTTTTTTTAATGTGTACATCAGATTCTTAAATAAGCCTTGGAGAGAAAAAAAAAAATTACAAACCGGGCTGTGTCCTTGAGACTTTCATTTACACCCAAATGAATATCTTGTGTGGTAAGAAAACAAGGGTGTCCTCCCAGAAGTGCAAAGCCTACAATAAAAGAAAAAGAAAAAAAAAAAAAAGATGGTTTGAAAAAAATAATTAAAATAGGAAACAAAATTATGAGGAACTGGCACTGTAGCCACTGAAAAGTCAAAATCTTTAAAGCTCTCCCACCTCTCACATAGGTAGTTCCCAGATAAGGCAAAATGAGGACGTAAGGGAAGTACATGAAATTTTGTGAACAAACATTTGGCTCTCATCAGGTATGTGCCCATTTCTCCACTCTTGTTCAGGACCTGGCAATAATGGGGAACTGTTCCCTTTTGAGGGCTATGTCTGGTTTTGATTCTTTAAAAATAAATACAGATGTTCATCCCAGGAGAATGGAAAAGTCAACAGTAGCGTGAATATGGAATATCATGGATTACAATTAAATACTACTGAGTAATCAAAAGGAATGAACTACTAATACACACAACATGGATTAGTCTCACAAATGATATGCTGAATAAAAGAAGCTACACACTGTATACTTTCATTCATGTGAAGTTCTGGTCTAGACAAAACTAATGTAGTCCAGAAAATCCAATGCTTCTGGAGAGGGTGACTGATCAGGAAAGAACATAGGGGAATTCTCTGGGATAGTGAAAATATTTTACATCTTTTTTTTTTTTTTTGGAGAGGTTTTTGCTACAGGGTGCGTGTGCTCGCCAGAGAGACAGAGAGACAGAAAGTGAGAAATCATCCTCCAGGGGGGATGGCCACACCACAATCCCTTCTCCTCCATTCTCCTCTCAGAATCTTGGGCACGCACGCACACGCGCCCGGCTTGAGTTTAAGCCACCGGGGCTGGGACTCAACCCGCCATTGACTACATGGGAGTCCAGCGACATAGTCATTACGCTAACTGCTGGTCGCAAAATGTTTTACATCTTGATGGAGTTTGGGATTACATCGGTTTTTTCATCAACACTGACTGAACTTTACCCTTAAGATCTGAGAATTTCACTGTATATAAATTGTACTTTAATTTTTAAAAGCTTGAAAATAAAATGAAGTAAACATTGAAATGCTGGTTTCAAGCAGCCAAGAGTCTGAAAAGTCAAAGGGTCGCTATCACTTTTTTCATCGTCTGCCCAAAACAAAGCTTACCAGCACTAATACATTACCCTCACTGTTTTAACCCTCCACTCAGTGTGAGATTATTGCTGATACCGGAGCAGGTAAGTATGGCTTCTACCCTGACTCACTGAAGGTCCCATTGGCCTGAAGAACATGACACATAGAGGGGTCTGCCCCAAGCCACAATTAAACTCTGTGTTAAGCCATCTTAACACACACTCCGGGGCAAAATTATGAGAAATAATGACATCCAACCAGAACTTTATTATCTCATTCGAGACAGGTTCAATGAGCTAAATTTCCCCAATATGTAATTAAAGATAAGTAAACATAATTACAAAATAGAGTCTTATCCAAAGAATTTTGCAAACATTGTTTTTCTTTTCCTTATTGTGATGCACCTGATTTGTCTTTTGGGAAATACACGCCAGTCACAATTTGCTACTCTCATCTGTTTCTCATGAAGAAGAAAGAAATCATTAATTGCATGGTGAATTGGGGGATGAAGAGTTTTAGACCCATGACAGGAAATTTGATGTAAGGTCTCATGAAACACCCCCTTGACTCCTTAACACAATTTGAATATGGATTGGTATTAAACAATATTAAAGAATCACTGTATTTGTTAGATATGATAATAATCTCACAGCCATATAGAAAATATCCTTTTTTAGAATATGCAAACTAGTATGTCAAGGAATAAAATATCATTATAGCATTAATTTACTTTAAAATACTTCAGCAACAAAAATAGACAAATCAAAGAAGAGAATATAGCCACAGCTGTTAGATTGACATAGGGGTACTGCTGTACTCATTATGCTAATCTTTTTATTTTTCTGGTTATTTGAAGTTTTCATAGCAAAGTAAAAAACAAATACTCCTACAAAGAAAACTTCACTTCTATTACTTTATAATATTAAATAATTACAGTAGGTCTATTTTATACTTAAAACTATTCTCTTAAATATGTTCAGACATAATGATCTTTAACTAGAGACCACCATGTCTGGCCCTAGCAATGACCATTCATAGAGCACAATCATTTGCTGGCACTTTATAAATATTCTTACATTGAGAACTTCACTCTGACAAAGCATGTATTAGCTATCATCACAAGACTTTCATAGACAGGAGCTCTGACAGTCAGAAAGTCTAAACAATTGTGCAAGATTATTTTTAAGTTTCCATAGTCCCAGACCTTGCCACAAGGAAGCCAGCTCTGAATTAACTCACATTGTGATCTACAGACACAGAACAACAGAATGGAATTGGACTCAGTCATCGGCTGGGAAATAAGACAGTTTGCCTAGAGTCCTAAGCTCCCTTGCAGACTGAAGTACTAGGTCCCAGGCAGAATCACAGAACATGAAACACTCAAACAGTTCTACTTGCTAAAAGTCCTATAATAGAGTTGGACTCATTTTTGATGTTTGACTGCTGACAGAC